TAAGAGGGGAGGACTTCCACTCCCAGAATCCCCCAGCCAGCCTGCTTAAAGAGGGGTGGGCTTCCACTCCCAGAATCCCTCAGCCAGCCTGCTTTAAGAGGGGAGGACTTCCACTCTCAGAATCCCCCAGCCAGCTTGCTTTAAGAGGGGAGGGCTTCCACTCCCAGAATCCCCCAGCCAGCCTTCTTTAAGAGGGGAGGACTTCCACTCCCAGAATCCCCCAGCCAGCCTGCTTTAAGAGGGGAGGGCTTCCACTCCCAGAATCCCCCAGCCAGCGAGACTTAAGAGGGGTGGATTTCCACTCCCAGAATCCCCCAGCCAGCCTGCTTTAAAAGGGGAGGACTTCCACTCCCAGAATCCCCCAGCCAGCCTGCTTTAAGAGGGGAGGACTTCCACTCCCAGAATCCCCCAGCCAGGATGCTTTAAGAGGGGTGGGCTTCCACTCCCAGAACTCCCCAATTGGGAAATTCTTAAAGGGGCCAAGGTTGAGAAAGGCTGCCCCAGAGACCCCGCTAGAACTGCCCCCCCCTCCCCCAGTCAAGAATCCTCACCGCTTGCGTGGAGAGCATCTCGTTGATGCTGTGGTCGTACTGCTCGGCCAGGATGGCCAACTTGCGGGTCTGCTCCTCCTTCAGCCGCTTCAGCACGGCCTTGTGCTCGCTCTTGGGCGTGGTCTCCAGCAGGTGGTTCCGCAGGGCCTTGTACTGCCGGGTCTGGATCTTGCAGGTGTCCTGGAACTGTTTCTTGATCTGAAGCTCCTTGGACTGGGAGGGCAGGCAGAGAAAAGAGACAGGGGGGTCGGGAAGGCAGCGGGCACAGGGGGGCATCCCTGCCCACCAAGGATGGAGGTTCCCCCAGTGGTGTGGGAGAGCGTCCCCCTGCCTCATGCCTTAGTGGACAACCAGCGATATAGGAGCCAGCCGGGTGCAGCAGCAGCAGCCAAAAAAGCCAACACAGTTCTAGGCTGCGTTAACAGAGGGGTACAATCGAGATCAAGGGAGGTACTAATACCACTTAGTAAGGCCACACCTAGAGTCCTGCATCCAGTTTTGGTCACCAGACTATAAAAAAAGATGATGAGACTCTAGAAAGAGTGCAGAGAAGAGCAACCAGGAGGATGAGGGGACTGGAGGCTGAAATGTACGATGAACGGTTGCAGGAACTGGGCCTGGCTAGTCTAGGGAAGAGAAGGACCGGGGGAGGCAGGTTGGCAGCCTTCCAGTATTTGAGGGAGCGGTTGCCACAGAGAGGAGGAATGGGTCAAGCTATTCTCCAAAGCGAAAGAAAAAAAGAAAGAAAGAAAGAAAGAAAGAAAGAAAGAAAGAAAGAAAGAAAGAAAGAAAGAAAGAAAGAAAGAAAGAAAGAAAGAAAGAAAAGGTAAGGTAGGTAGGAAGGTAGGAAGGAAGGAAGGAAGGTAGGAAGGAAGGAAGGAAGGAAGGAAGGAAGGAAGGAAGGAAGGAAGGAAGGAAGATAGGTAGGTAGGTAGGTAGGAAGGAAGGAAGGAAGGAAGGAAGGAAGGGAGGAAGATAGGTAGAAAGGAAGGAAGACAGGAAGGAAGGGAGGGAGGGAAGGAAGGAAGGAAGATAGGTAGAAAGGACGGAAGGAAGGAAGGAAGGAAGGAAGGAAGGAAGAAAAGAAGGAAGGAAGGACATCTGAGCAAACTATGGATGGACAGAAGACATGTGCCAGTTTAAGGAAAAGAAGCTGTCCTCGGCTTGGAGGGGTTGGACTGGATGACCTACAAGGCCCCATCCAACTCTGTCAATCTGTTCAAACTCCCGTGCTCCCGAGGGAGCCCGCGACACCCCTCCCAGCCCCCCTTCCCCCCCCCGCCCCCCCGAAAGGTACCTTCAGGCTCTTGGGCTGCTGCCGGACCTCCATGACGTGCTTCCGCCGCAGCTCCCTCTCCCGCCGTTTGTTGTACTCCAGCTGGTTGGTCAGCTCGGTCTGGTGCTGCAGCCGAATGAGTTCGCAGCGCATCTTCTGGATGGTGCTGAGGTGCCGGAACTCCAGCTCTTGCATGGACTCGTGCTGGCGCAGCAGCATGGCGTGCTCCAGGTCCTTCTGGGTCTGCCTCTTGTTCAGCTCCTGGGTGGGAGGAAGGGGGCGCTCAGGAGGGGCTGCTTGGCGCCAGGAAGTGGGGTGCAGAGGGAGAGGAGGCCGACAAGAGAGCCCAGGGATCTGCCTGGCTGGCTGAGAGGAGGAGGAAGGGGAAGAAGGGGAAGAAGAAGAAGAAGGAGGAGGAGGAGGGGGGGGAAAGAAGAAGAAGAAGAAGAAGAAGAAGAAGAAGAAGAAGAAGAAGAAGAAGAAGGAGGAGGAGGAGAGGAGGAGGAAGGGTGGAGGAGGAGGGGAGGAGGAGGGG